AATATACAAAATTATGAGCAAGCGGGAACCTTTATCTTTCTGAAAATTGATTCATAATTGCTGTGATTTATTTATTGGTACTAGTTATTAAACTATCACGCAGGCTAATTCCCAGTATTTTGTTTATTATCGAGCGGTATTAATCTGACATCCACAAGTTTGTCTTGTTTTTTTTCATCTTATGTGCAATGTTTGTCTTTGTTTTTTTGTGAAGACTTATTGCCATTTATAGTGCACTCTGATGACTTTCCTTGAGTCTTAATTAACCTACCTGAATTATATTGGATTCATACATTTTTTAGACAACATTTGCTGAGTACATAGAAATGACATCCACAAAAGATAATCTCATATTGTAGATTTATCTGACTTCTTACAGAAAGGACAGTATTATCTGACTAATCATGAAAATAATGAGAGAAATGCTCAAACTCTGACCATTTCTAATACGCATTTTCTATCGTACACAGAAGTGCATTACCATTCCTATACACATGTCTGTTAGAATTAGCAACTATTCCGGGCTGGCCCGGGTGATTTTCCTTTTTTTTTATTTTTTTTTATTTTTTTCCAAAATTTTTTAATGTTATTTAACTTATAAATTATAAAAAAAAGACAAGAAAAATAACAAAAACAATAATTTTATTAATTACTTAAAATGACATAAATTACAAATAAGAAATGATAAAAACATATTCTTTATTAATAATTGATAAATCAGTTACAAATTACAAGTACAAATTTATTTTGGAATTAATCGCATCACAATAGATAAGTAAATCCCAACTAGGTTGGCACCTACTCACCTATATCACTATCATTTGCAATTATTTCCAAAATAATTCTTTACAAATTGTAAGCTAAGATATAAAAACTACAATCTATTCTTTATATCTATCTGCTAGTCCCAATTCTTCAAATTTATCTTCAATTCCAGCCATCCGATCGATGCCTTGCGTTCGCTTCTCGTACCTCCACCAATCTTGTAGGCACATCACCGCTTGTACAGTATATGGATCCAAGCATGTCCTGTGATCGTCGATCAAACGACCTGCTGTGCTGAAGGCGGATTCCGAAGCTACCGTCGAAACCTGCACTGTTAGTAAGTCACGAACCATGGTGGAAAGTATAGGATATGAAACTGATCCATATACTTTCCACCATTGCAAAATATCTAAAGCATTTCCTTGACATCTAACTAAAGAAGCAGAAAAATATTCATCTATTTCAGAAACCTCCGATGATGACGATCCAAGTCCAGATCCACCAGTTAGCTCGGCTACCATTGCATACCTATCAAAACTTACACTTTTACCTCGGGCTCGGGATGAGCTCGAAGAAACCGAAGCTGCAGACTGTTGTGCAGCTACACCATGTCTAGCTGCATACTCATCATATAAAGTTTGAAAATAATTTCTAATAAGTAAATGATGAGTAGTAGCATTCAGGGTGGTTCCATCATCTAAGTCTATAACCTGTCCACCATACAATGACTGTAACAAACTTCGAAGGCCAATATCCTTCAAGCATGGATCAATAAGAACCCCCAAACCAAAAATATGAGGAATATGCCTAAAATACTTATTAAATTTGCTCTCCATTTCAAAAACCATAGGTCCAAAAGTAGCATCCAAACGATATTTATCAAAAAAAATTTGAATATTTAAAATTTGTAAAGCAGCTAAAGTAATGGTTGGATAATAACAGCCAGATAATAACATTATAGCATCATAAAAAACTTGTAACATTTCATTTAAATTACATATAATTGTCCATTCATCTTCAGTTATTCCATAAGTGCTACCAAAACTAGAACTAGAAGCATAATAGTTTATAAAATCAGTTATAATGTCTTTATATTCTATTGCTACACTTAACATTGCATATGTGGAATTCCACCTATGGTCAACATCTTTTGGAATTAGTCTAGGCTTTACATTTTTTCTTTTACAAAATTGTTTCCATCTTTTAAGTCTTTGTTCAGAAGCATTATGCATATAAGCAACTATTCTAACCTTTTCTATCATGGGTTTAATTTCAGTAAATGCACTTTGAACAATTAAATTTAAAATATGACAGATACACCTAATATGAAAAAGATCACCATGACATGATAATGAATGACAGAGTTAATCTGATAAAATCAACAGCTACATTGTTATTACTTGCATTATCTAGTGAAAGAGAAAATATTCTTTGTGAAATTTCTAATTTCATAAGTTCTTCAATTATTAAATTTGCAACATTAGCACCAGTATGTGACTCTTCTATTGTAATAAAAGAAACAACTCTTTTAAACATTTGATAATTTTCATCAATCCAGTGTGCTGTGATACATAAATATCCAGTTTGTGCTCTAGATGTCCAAATATCAGAAGTTAAAGAAAATTTACAGTTTAAATTTTTAAAATAAAAAATTATTTTTCCTTGTTCCTCTTGATAATATTTTTAAATATCACGTTGACGGGTTTGACGAGAAAACTTTTTAAATGCAGGATAAAAACCATCTCTAAACATATCTTCAAATTCATCATCTTCTACTAATTTAAAAGGAAGGTTTTTAAGAATGATAAACCTGATTACGCATTTCCTAACTCTGGCAGCGTCATAGTTCCAACTACCGAGACTACCAGAAGAGGAGGATTGAGAAATCATGGATTGTCGGATATCACCTTGAGGAGGCTGGCCTTTGTTGTGTTTATCTAAATGGCGTTTGAGGTGGTTGGTGCCGCTCTTATGATGAGCTTGAAAAATCTTGCCGCACAAAGCACACTTAGCCTTCTGGGTGAGGATCCTACCGTGTTCATCCTTGGTGACGTCGATCTTCTCGTAAAAATTCCACACATCGGATCTTGGCCGTTTAGGAGCTCTTGGTGCAGATTCGTCGCCACCGGATTCGGGATTAACTTCGGTAGGAGGACTGATAGTAGGAGGACTCATAGTAGGAGGACTCAATTCAGGATCGGGAGATATGTTTTGCTCTTCATAATCAGATCCGGAAGCCATTTGGGGATTGGATTAGAAAGTATAAGCGCCTTAGCCGCGGCACCTTGGTCTGCCGCGCCTTAGCCGCGGCACCATGTCCTGCCGCGCCGCCATATGTTGCTTGATGACGTGTATATTGTTCTTCTATATCGTCTTGAGTGGTGTTTGAATGTCTGTAAGCATTTTTTGATGTCTACACCAGTCCCCTAAGCAAATGACCAAAATAACCTCACAAAATAGCCGTTTTTTGACCGTTTTTGGGGACAAAACGGTCAAAAGACCGTTTATGGCCGTTATGGTCGGGCCGGCCCGGGCCGGCCAAAACGGTCAATTTCGGTGGACCGTCGTGGCCGGGCCGGCCTCAACCGTTTGGCCACAACGGTCACTCTCTGTTTGCGCGTTGTGCCGGGCCGGGCCGGGCTAGGCACGGTCACCATGGTGACCGTTGCCACGCGTCGGGCTCCGGGTTGCCCGGCCCGGGATTTTTGCCCGACCGCCGACGCTGTCCGAGCCAGGCCGCGGGGCCTGGGACGCCCGCTGAGGCCAGCCCGTACCCGGGCCCGGAACCCGGCCAGGCCCAGATTTCCGGGCCGAGACCGGGCCGGACCGACGGGCTTTTTGGATAGGCCTAACTTTAACTACATTAGAGATTAAATGATGCATAAGCTTGCGCTACAGAATGTTCTTGAGAACTTTTAATCAAACTGCATATCTGATTGTCAATATTTAGTTTTCTGCTTTAAATGCCACTTTGCGCTTCTAAAATATTTCCAATGAGGTATTTTAGCTATTTATGTACATGTAATTAGGGGTGGTAAATGATCGAATCGAATCGAATACTAATGTGTTCATATTTGTACTTGTTTAAAATTATGGAATTCGAATGCAGACTCTAATATTCATATATCTAGTTTTTCGAATTCGAACTAGCTCGAATATTTGATATTTGATAAATATTCATGAATAATCACAAATATTTATCGAATATCAAAGTATATTTATTCCGCTAAAAATTTTGATTTTCAAATAATATTAAAATTTATAAATAAAAGTTATTTCTTTTTAATATGTGATGTATATATTTTTAAATTAAAAATTTAATTAGAAATAGATTTAAGATTATTTAAGTCTTAAAACTAGTATATAAAAGTTAAGTAGAAATGGTAAATGAATTAAAAATATGACACCATATGTGCAATAATACAAATAATAAGTTGTGATTAAATTTTAAATAAATATTTAATAGACAAACGAATTGAATACACATCTGTGTTAAATTCTATTCGCTAGTAAACTCGAATACTAAAAAATATTTGTTTAGTTATAAATGAACTACTGAATTGAATATGTCTGAATAGTTATTCGAACAATTATCAAACTATTTGTTAATTATTTAGTTCATTTCCACCCCCTACATCTAACTATTCTAAGTGCTTGCTATAATATAAGCTATATGAACCGTTTTCTTAAAATAAAAAAATCGTTATTATTATTTAATTAAAGTTTAAAAACTTGCACATCCACGATAACTAATTCAGACCTTACATGTGGTGCCCACCTCCTCAGTCCTTACACAAGAAAGCGTAAAAAAAGCAACAACAAAAATATCTCCCGCATGCCACGTAGATTTCTTCAACATCTCCGCACGCAAATTCCACATTAGTAATTCCCCCCCACGTGAAACCCACCAAAAATTGCTCCTAAAAACTTAAAAAGCGCCCAAATGTTAAAAAAAATGCAAAAGAAAACAACCCAAATTCGCTTTTATGCCATTTTTTCAATTGGGTCCGGACCCGAAACCCAGAACCCGATTAAACCAACAAAGTAGTAGAAAAAAATGAAGCGAAGCGTCGCGTACCCGACCCGACCCGACCCGACTGCGTCAAGCAAGCGGGCGATGCGATATCAATTCCGTCACGTGATGAATCTCCCATAAATTTGAGCTCGTGCTCAACGTGCCTTTTTTCTCTCGATGAGTTTTCCCTCACTTTTTTGTCAGTATAAAATAGCAGCCCTTCTTCATTTTCTAACGTCAAGCTTCAAAAAAAAATTTAAATCAAAAACAAAAAATAATTTCTTTTTTTTTAATGGCCAAGGGGTTTGATCCAGAGCTCGAGTTCAAGCTCAAGCTCGGCAGGGAGCCTCATGTTTCACCAAATGATTCCGATTCTATGAGATTAAGCAGGTAATTCTTTATCAATTTTATTTTATTTGAACAATTTTTTTTAGCTCTAAACATATACATTTCAAATATAATGTATCAGGGTTACAAATTGGCTAAGTAACATGCAAGAATATCAACACCCACATCCGCAACAACAACAGATAACCATTTTCTACAATGGTAGGGTGTGTGTTTGTGACGTGACCGAGCTTCAGGTACTTTTCGTTAATTGTTCTTTTATAATTAGGTAAAATTTCGTTATCGACCCATTTTTTTTTTTTGATATGTTGTTATTATTGTTTATCTAGGCAAGGGCGATAATAAGCATGGCAAGAAGAGAGATGGAAGAAAGATCGACGGAACAAAGAGAATTAGCGCCAATGGAGGCGATTGGGCCTCGGTTGGTGAATCAAGGACTGTCTATGAAAAGATCGCTTCAAAGTTTTTTAGAGAAGAGGAAGACAAGGATAGATTCTACATCGCCTTATAGCTATTAATGATTTAAGTGAAGATGGATATTGTTTGTATATTGTTTAATTTCCTCTGTGGTTACATTCTTGGTTAATTAATTTGATCCACCTCAAGTGTCATCTTTAATTTTCTTCGGTCAGAATCTTTTGGGTAGTGGCATGGGATTGTTAGTGTCTTTGAAAATGGTTAAAGATTTATTTTTTATATTTACTAAAAATCTTATTCTGGATTGAATATATATGATTACATCCTGAAATTTATTTTAAATGCTAAACCGTAAGTATATAAACTCTAACTAGGCTATGTTCAAGAATACACTACAGTGATGATGATAGATAGGAGAACATGAAAAGCAACAGAAGGAAAGAGAATTTGAATACAATATTATAGTTTCTTACAATGTTACAGATATATAAACGGATTTGATACTTGTCCACTGTATTTTATTTCTATTGATTTATCACCTATCTAGGACAGAACTTGTCTAAATTCAGGATATGGTAATTTATGAGCCCATCCAAGAAAATGCAGCACATAATTATATCAAAACTTTGACAGTATATAGCAAGTTTTCCTCTATCCATCTCATAAACTCTTCACAATTTCTTGGTCATTTTTTCCCTTCTTTTGTTAGGCAAGAGAATGACGGTTATTGTGGGTTTGGTCCAATAAAAGTATGTGAGATGACTCTTTCAAACCTAACAGATTGGTATTATAGCACATTTATATATGGACTGTATTAATCTAATAGACCCAAATTGACACAAGAAAGATTTTGTCCCTTATTCTTTATGCATTCAAGAATATTTAATTTAAGAATATTTAATCATGCATCCATGTAAAACTTTCCCCCTACTTCGTGATTAACATCTCGTGTCTTCACACAAGTTTGTACTGGATGACACTGTTCACTATGTCTTTCGATGCTTGGTTGTTCCTATTAACATGGTTAGCATTAGATGGATGGAACGTGACATTACTGTTAGAATATAAAAATATAATCCTAAACTCTTATCATAACTTTCGAGTTTTGATGTAACAGTTAGAGAGACTTAATCTAAGATGGTATCGGAGCAGCCTGTTGTGCTCTGATACCACTTGTTGTGCGCGGAAGCCACTTGTCGTCCGCCGAGTAACCAAACCAAACACCGAGAGAGAAGGCAACTCAAATCAAACAATAATGACACAAACTCAAACACAAAGTTTAACGTGGTTCAGCAAATTGCCTACGTCCACGGGACAAGAAGGGGAGGGGTTTAAACTATAGAGAAAGAGAGTACAAAATAGAAATTACAAGATCACTCAAACTAACCTCTCAAACAAAACCCTCAAATCTCTCACAAAACCATCAAACAATTTGCTCAGAAAAAAACTTTCTTTTCTGTGCTCAAAACTCTCCTTCAAGCTACCCCAAAAATGATCAATATGATCCAATTAAACCCTAAACAAATCGTGTTCCTATTTATATAAAACAGGAAACCCAAACAGTGCAGGAAACCGAAGCAGGCCCAGACCCGACTCGCGGTCGACCGTCGAACCCATCGCGGCCGATCGGATCCAACGACCGAAACCAAAAAACACTACAGGGTTTTGCCGGTCGCCCGCCGCGCCACTTGCGGTCGACCGCGAAAAGTCCAGAGACTTTTCCTGTGCTGTGCACATTCGCGGTCGACCACAGCGCCACTTGCGGGGGATCGTGCAGCATCCAAAATGTTCCCTGCTTCAAAAAATCTGAACTTCATCGCTGTGTCGCCAATTCTACAATTCTCTACCTTGGCGAAGTCTTCCCAAAACTGAGCCGACACCAACCAAACCAAATGTCTCACTTGTTACGTCTAGTACGAAGTGAAACGAAATCACAACAACGGGCTCAATCCACAACAAGTCGAGATGCAAATGAGAATGCGAACATTTTTCAAACGTCGGTACCTATCCATCAAATCGGCTGCATCATAAATGACTGCCTACGTATCCTCTTGCCAAAGGAATCAAGCCTTCACGTAGTTCCCCAAATGACCTCCAAATGCCCTCAATCAAATATAAAAGTTCTCAACTCTTTGTTTTCGTCGAAAGTTACCTTAGTCATTGATTTCATTAAACTTTAAGCGTTACAAATGAATTCAAACAACAAAAGAATAAAAGATTACAACTTTCTTGAAAATAAACACAAGATCCGTTCGTCGTCTCTTGCTTGCGTGGGTCTTTAGCCTGTGATGGTGATGTCGATATCCGTGGACTACCTGGCAATCAGATCAGGTCCAGAGCTTCGTCGATCCGCGAAGAGATCTAGAAACAGAAGCGCTTATCTCGACAAAAGCAAGATAATTGCTCTTCTTAGAATTACCACAACGGGATAATACTAAGGATTGGATGCGGGTGATGTAGATCTGACGACTTTCGATCTCTTGTGTTGAAGAACTCGACACTCTTCAGTTCGGCAGGACTTCGCCTATTCTCCAAAATTCCAGATCCCAAAAAATAAGGCTCCAGGGGCTGTATTTATAGGCTTCCAGAAGATCCGGGCGGTAAAAACTGATCGAAAACCGTCAAAAACACGTCCCAAGTGCGAGACAGCTCGGGGTGTCTCGCACCTGTGCGAGACAGTTTGTACCATTTTCAGTATTTTGGCTCTAATTCTTTCATCCGAACTCGGATTTGAGTGATTCAAGATGTGTTGGAAATATGACAAAGAGATCTACAACTTTCATGTTTATAGTTTCTTCAGATTCTAACCGGATTATGGCCAAAAGTTCTCCACAAGGTCCGAGACACCTTTGGGTGTCTCGGCCAAGTCCGAGACACCTTTGGGTGTCTCAGCGCTATTTTGGTCATAACTTCCTCATATGACCTCCAAATAACCTAATTCCAGATGGGTTGGAAAGCTGACAAAAATATCTATATTTTTTATGTTTTGAGTTTCTTTATATTCAAAACTAATCATGGTCAAAACAGCTCCATAAGTTCCGAGATACCTTTGGGTGTCTCGGCCAGGTCCGAGACACCTTTGGGTGTCTCGAGGCTATTTTGATCATAACTTCCTCATATGACCTCCAAATGACCTTATTCTAGATGAGTTGGAAAGCTAATAAAAATATCTACAACTTTCATGTTTTGAGTTTCTTCAGATTCAAAACCAATCATGGTCAAAACATCTCTACAAGTTACGAGACACATTTGGGTGTCTCGGCCAGGTCCGAGACACCTTTGGGTGTCTCGGCTTTGGCCAAGACACCCTTGGGTGTCTCGGCCATGGCCGAGACACCTTAGGGTGTCTCAGTCGTGCCAAGACACCTCGAGTGTCTCAGTTCAGCCTGAGACGTTCCGTTATGTCTGTTTGTTCGTTTTCGCCGTAACTTCTTCATCCGAACTCGGATTTGAACGATTCAAAGTGCGTTGGAAAGCCGACGAGGAGTTCTATAAGCTCCAATGATTAGATCATCTGTGGAATAAATGAGACACGAAGGGAATTTTATCTTTTGTAAGTGACACGGGGCTCCTGATCAGTTCGTATCCTTATTATTCTGAAACTCCGTTGCTTCACATAGTTCGTCAACCAACTTTATGTGTTTGTCGACATCAATCAAGCTCCTGTGACTTGGATAGTGCCCAACGCTGAGGACATCCTCAAAGTGCGGGCGATTTCGTGATATTTCTTATTGGCTGTCTGATGTTCATCATCTTCTCTTAGCCTCGAGCTGTTCGTGGAGACCTATAGGCAATTTTCAACGCCTACACTCTTCACCAACAAACATGTGGTTGATAGCTCTCCAAATAGCCCCAAAGTGAAACAAATCAAACAGCTCCACCTGAGGTGAACCAATGGTTGTATCCAAATCATATCCACCAGCGGCATTCGAATCAACCAACTCATCATCTACACCTAAATCCAAATGATCCCCTAACTGTGTCACCTCAGCTGGAATCTCAAATGATGCAGTATGATCTGGAGTATGTGGAGTAATCTCCACCCAATGTGGAGTAGCATCACTCTCCACCCGTTACGATACATTTAAGGTCTGTCCCAAACTCTCCACCTGCTGAGAGTCAATTAGCTCCCTCATTGAAGCCTTAACTGAAGTGACACTACCAGACAAAACATCCAATGGAGTTTTACCTCCAATCATAACAGTAGACAACCTATGACCAAGATGACCCAAATATATCAAAGCCTCAACACCAGAATCAATGCTCGACATCAAACGCCAGTCCTCCTCCAGCATGGAACAACTCACCAAATCTGTCATCTCATCTCGTTGTCCCAAGATTTCCTTTCCACCAAAGTGTCTCAAAATGTCATGAGCTCGGCTCAAATGCAGAAATAGGTCCCTCTTGTACCTCCCACCAAAATCAGAATAAAGTACATTCACCTTTCTGCCAATCTCACACTTCTTCAATCTCTTGGAGACTACTAGGACTTTATCCAATCAGGATTTGATTGCAACCCAAGCATTCCTAGAACAGCCACCAACAAATGAAATCAAACATCTATTACCTCCCAATGATGCCTCCTTGGAAGGTCCCCAAATGCCCACGTAAACTCTATTGAAAAGACCCTTCGTGCAGTGAATAGAGGTGTAAAACTTCACATCTGTCTTCTTGCTCACATCAAAATGTTCACTGAACTTCAAATTGCAGGTCGATGCACTCTTTTCTAAATCAATACTGGAATGACCAAGCCTCAAATGCCACAGTCTAGTCGAATCAATAGAAATCGCCAGCTCTCCACTTGTCGTCGTATTCCCAATCAAATAGTACAGGTTATTCTTCCTGACACCCTTCATCAAAATACGAGAGTCTTCTACAATCTCGAGACTCATGGTCTTGATACAAACTCTAAAACCCTCTCCAACCAAAGCTCCAATCGAGATCAAGTTCTTCCTCAAAGAAGGAACATATCTCACACCATATAACTCTCTAACTATCTCGTTATACATCTTGATATGAATTCTTCCTATCCTAAGGATCTGACATGCACGGTTGTCACCCATGTACACCACAACCACTATCCAGTTTCTCAAAACTAGCGAACCATTTCCTTTTAGGGTACACATGATAGGTCGCACCACTATCCAACATCCACTCGGATTCCTCCGAATAGTAACCTGTGGGACTGATAGAAAGCAAATAAATAGATAAGTT